TCAATTTAATTTTTGAAAGGTTTATTATTACTCCCTTCTCTCATGTTATCATGTTACATTTATTTACAAAATACAAAAGAAAATCGAAATCGATCGTTATTATGATGTTAAAATTGTTCGAATAAAAAAGATACGTACTTGTAAATTCATAGAAACAAATTCACAAACTTACATTTATAACATCATCTACGCATTATTTTAAGGAACATAGCTAGGTTTAATCGATCTACATTATTATAATAATCAGTATCACCTACTTTACAAGTATACAAGGGAATTGAAAGTTCAACAGTAAGAGGCTGCATCTATCTCGTTCTCTCTCTGTACAATAATATGAGGATAAAAAAATAATTTAAATTGTGGCAATTATTAATAAAAATACTTTTTTTTTGTTTTGGAATTTAATTTTTTTTTATTAAGTATGTACTATTTTACGACATAAAAAATTGTAAGTTAGCAAATGTTGAATATAGTTATGCAGGGCGTCAATTATTTTTTCCTTCTTGATTTAATGGCATACATATACAGGTGAAGACGAAGACAATCTTATAGTATTTTGAGCTAATGAAAGGAATTACCAACACCATTAGAACCAATATATTCTAGAGTTATGGTTGTAATGGTATTCTTTTATTCAATTAGACAAAACTGCGCTCCTAATTATGCTAATGTTTTCAAATTTATGGCATAAGATCTTAAAGCATATATATATGGTCTTTTCTTGATTGGTCGGCATAACTGGGATGCAATTATTATTTTTAATTAGTCAATACATTATTTAAAAAATATAGTCATATTAAAATAATACGTAGTTGTAGTCAAGTGAGCCCGAAGTGACTGCTGCGACAGACATTTGAAGTCTGGAGGTGGATACAATTTAATGCATCGCATCGTTGTCGCATTGTATTGCTGTCGCGTCGCGAATAATGGAGATGTCTTTATTGTTCTTTATATGCTTTTGACGTTGGCTTGATATGCTGAATGTTTGTTGCAGCACTTAAGTATCGAATAACTATGAAACGGTCGAAATAAAGTCATAAAAATATAATAATTATGATAAGCAAATTAACGTATGTCCAAATACTCAAACACTACAAGAAAAGATATCGTTAAGTCTCGTGTTTTATCTATCAATTTAATTCAAATTGACATGAAACTTAACGACATCTTAAAATTGTGTTGGCCAATACACAATCAAATATACATAAAAATATGCTTTCTACATTTGCATGTTTTTTATAACATACAGTGAGTGAACGAGATATTGAGATTCTTATACAAAATAAGAAATATATTAATAAATTAAGTTTTTTTTTACAGTGAAAACAGGTAATAGAATTTTTATTTATTATTTAAATTTATTTGTCGTTATTTCCTACCCAATACAATTAAACAACCTCTTTTCATTAGAAACAACATGTAGCACAACAGTACGTTTTACGACATAATCAAAAACCTTAAAATAGGCAGAGAACTTAGATATAATTGCCATGGAATGTAAATAAATTCACATATAAAATGAAAACTCATATCTAATTACGAATTTCTCTGAATAATAAATATTTTCCTGTAAATATTATCATAGTATGAATATATTTTCTTGTTTAAGCAAATTATAATTTTTAATTTTATTCGTTGTTATTTTTATATTCACCATTTTGTGCAAAATTTAATATAATGATAAATATCTTTTATCCTTTCCAAGGATAGATGTAAGTCTCAGATACCGTCGTATTCTATTCAATGCAGCCTTTCATTTAACCCAATTTACCCTTCAAGATCATCAAGTTCTGTCAGTTTACGGGGAACAATTTCGACGGTGCCGTAATTGCTGGCAACCCTAATTTAGACGGTGTAACTTTGATCGTGTTTTTATGCAAAGCGTTTCAGCAAAACGAGACATTCGTATATCCAGCGCGCTGCTTTGTATTAAGGCATTTTTATATTACGCTGAAAATAAGGGCCTAAATAAACATTACTTTTTCATAAAGAAAGAGATTTGCTGTTTTGTGTTTTGAATAATTAAAATATTCGAAATTCAAATATAATAAACGACATCCATTATCCATTACAATCTATAAAAGTCCACTGCTGAACATAGGACGAATATATATGAAATTATGAAATACCTATGAGGAATCAAAGATTTCCTCATAGGTATTTTGCCATAGTTGCCACGCTTGGCAGGTTGGCAACCGCAGTTTTTTTATATTTTAAGTTGGTATCGGGGAGATGCTGCCTCCTGTCACCAAGTGGATGGATGTAAGTGGCTCAGGGTCGTGCTTTTTGGCATTCCTTGAGGTAGGCCTATGTTCAGCAGTGGACTTGTAAAGAGCTGAAATGATGATAATGATGATGAATGTGAGCAAGCAAAGTGCTTACGGTGTGATGCTTAATCCCTAGTAACAACTAGTTTTTAGAAGTATGCAGGTCTTTTATAGCTCAGTTCGTGTGACGGAAACAGTACCCATACGTAGGAAATTTCGTCTCGTGTATAATCGCCTCTATTAGCATCTTTAAATATATCATAGTAGTTTTTATAAATATTACAAAAGGTACTGGAAGAAATTTTAGCACAGGAGGTACATGTGAAAAAATACTTTATTTGGCTTTATATCATCTCAAGAGCAATAGATGATGCGATTAGGTTCGGAATGTGACTCGAGGCAGTTGAACTGAATACATAAAAGAATATGAAGAAATGTCCTGCGAATACGATAGGTCCGTGGAGTTCACACGCTACGAACCGTACCCGCCACTGAGCGTTACTACTGGAATAAAGACTTGTTCTTTGCCCACCTAGAGCCCTTCAAGCAATTGCAACAAGCGCTCTTGCCAAATATTATGGAGATTAAAGGTATATTAAGGCAATTTAAGTTTTAGATTTAATTTTTATAGATAGTTTATACGTTAAGGTAAATAAATCAAACCAGCTGTCATTTAAAATTATGTTAAAACCAAATTTATTCCATTGAAAAGAGGTTTATTTTTAATTACATCTAACATTTTTGTTCTAGGAACAAAACAAACAATTTTATTACCGAATGCGATGAAACATCTACTATATCATTTTTTTTAATAAACACAAAACGTCAATATTTACAAAAATTCAAAATATTTACAATGCACTTTGATTTTTTAATCTACTTTACGTATCAGTGTATTTACATAAACTGACAATATACATCGTTTTGTCTAATAATAAATAACTTAAATAATATGGAATGAGAAACAAATTTCAATGAAAATACACACAGCAATTTCTAAAGAAATCACAAATTGCATTTAAGAGATCTATTTTAATAACTGATATATTAAACTGGTCAAAGCATTTCAAACTAAAAGCGAAAGGCCCTTTCTACATTCAAATACAGTTGATTGCACTAGTAAGCGTCTATCCTATATTGATTTGGCTTGTTCACTTTGCTACTGCTATCCTAGAAGTCTGGTATCAAGATAGTTGCCGTGAGTGGTTGGATATGTCTCCGATGAACTACAAATCTCTTCAAAATAACGACGATGTGCGAAATAAAAATGTAATTTATACTAAACATTGAAATATTTACAAAAACTAATAAAAACTATAAAAATAAAAAATATAAAAATAATAAAAACTATAGTAAAAATACAAAACTAAAAAATTAAATTATCATACAGTCCTATTCCCCGTCGTAATGTGCAAAGAACGCTGGCTGCGTTTCCTCGCTGAATGGCTATACTTAGCCTTTGAGCGAGAAAAGAACCAGCCCTCTTATAACCAGTAGCAACGAACAGTCGCCCTAATACAGTTTCTTTAGGAACTTCGCTTCTGTCTACTAGAATATTTGTATTTAAACTAGAAAACGATACGATGAAACTTCTGTCATAAATGATAAATGTTGTGGCGGTGTAATTGGATCCGCAACCCCATGTTATCCCATGGGCGTCTTCAGAGGCGATAGCGGGTAATGTAATAGGAAACGGGCACCAGCATCTTCTTATATCAACTCAACTTAATAAAAAACTTTGATGGTCCAGCGGTTGCAATTATGGCAAATACCATTGAGGCAATCCATGGGGGAGGCCTTTGTTTAGCAGTGGATTTTATTAAATTGAGTTCGGTTACTGTGCAAATTATATAACCATGTACGTCAACTTTTTCCATACAAAATCTCTGCAATGCTTCTTTATCACTGAATTCACTCGTTATAATTCACAGTATGTTTTGTCTAGCAGCACACAATTACAAAACGAAATAATATGCATAATTTTAATAGCATAATGCGCAAACTTCAAGTTGGGATTAACCTTAGTATTCGATTAAGTACAATTTTGTAAAAAGGGCCTATCTATCTCTTTGCAGTAGATTGGCTTGTTTCTTATGAACAGACGAAGTTATAACATATCGTGAGGTTAAATTAACTATCACAGTATGTAAAACTATAGTATCTTTTGTAGTTTTGTATCGTATACAGAAACTATAACAAATTCAATTACAATAAATGTACCTTAAACTGACGCAAAACTTTCACGAAAATTTACAGAAAGTTTTATTAGCTTAAAAAGATGTATACAACGCAATTTTATTTCACCTAGTGCATAATCTGTGTTACAAGTATCAAACAGTTTTGCAATCGATATTTAAATTACCTTAAAACTAGTTTTCACTCGATCATCATGTATCTTGCCTCCTTCTTCTTTAATGAAGTAACTTAGAACATTTCTAACGACTCTTAATTTATATATTATCATTAATATTAACAGGTTTCCGCCTTGAAAGCTAGAAGCTTTTGTTTGTATTTTTTTAAATGAATCATACACTGTATTTTTAGTAAAATTAATGTAACAATTTACCAAAACGTGGCATATTTTTTTACGCTTATTTCTCTCATCTATACCTACGTATTTGGGATTTTATCCTCTTCATTTTGACCAAAAGATAAAAAAGAGTGTCGATGATTTTTTCGTTAAAAATTTAAAACAAAAGCTTCTGCGCTTACTTGAATTCATATTCAAGGCGATCATCTGCAAGCCATTGAAGATAGTAAGTATGTGAGGACGGCGCAACTCAGCTGCGACGTCAGGTAGGAAGAAGCTCTGTTGCTTGTTTGCATTGCGGCTGGATGTTCACCTGTACAATAAAATTATTAAAGCTGTTATTGATATAAATTTTCATCTAAAATTAGCTTGAAAAAGTTACCTGCTGCTCGCACACTTAGCAAGGATGACCTTCCTCGATCCTTTTCACTACTAACAAAGAAATTGAGTTTGTATCCAAGGTTGTAAAATGCAATGCATTGTATAAGGCTTTATTTCTTTCATTTACTGAGTTATGGGCAAACATAAAATAACATAAATTATTTATTTTACCATGCAGTGGCGGTGTAAGAATATCTACTACCACATATCATCCCGTGGAGGTAGTGGGAGGCGACGGAGAGAAATAAATCACGAGATGGGCAGCAGCGTCCTCCAATTACGACTAAAACTAAAAAAACTGCGGTTGCCAACCTGCTTGCCAAGCTTAGCATCTATGGCTAATAATCCTCTAGTAAGGGAATGATCTATGGGGGAAACCTATGTTCGGTAGCGGACTTTAATAGGCTGTAAAGATAAAACTTTTGCTGCAGCATGAGCCTAGTTTCATTTCAAATTTTTGTAATTTTAGCTTAAATATTTAAATTGAAGTACATGTAACTAGTTTCACAGAAGGTCGATAAGCGAAAATCACATCTGTAAAATGTTACATTGAAGACTTATATATCCGTTCTCCTTTAGCAATACATGATAGTAAGTCTATAATTAGCTGCATCGCGAGCATGTTGCTGATTACATTAAGAGGCTCGTGTCTTTTTTCAGGTTTACGCGTGTATTCACGTGAAAATAATTAGGACAAAACTTCAATGGATGCAAGGGAATCAATTTTCAAATTTCTTCCCATCGACGTCATATACGATAACCATAGGACAGTTAAAGCCTTTTTATAAAATAAGGGTAACAGACGAGTACATAGTCCACCTGATATTAAGTGGATGCTTTGGCCCATAGACATCTATATTTATATTCGAATAAAAGTCGAAATGTAGATGCGTTGTCACCTCTTAGGACTAAGATAGAATGCCAGTTTCCAGTAAATGGAGTTTCCGGTTCTCTACACACACCATACGAAATACAGAAACCTTCAGCTGCTGTTTTACGCTGGTATTCTGTGAGAGATGGCTTTTCTCTCTATGGCTATTACAAGGTAAAAACTATGGTTTCTTGAAACATCTAGCAACAGAGTTTAATTAGTATAAGATCCAAATATTTTATTTCTAACTTAACTGCCGTGTGCCGTGTAACTTACCATTTAAGACATGAACCGATACAGAAGCTGGGTGTGCGTTGTTAGGTACACATGTGTAATTGCCAGAATCAGTAAGAGCCGCTTTAGTAACTAACAGCTTGCTAGTGGTTCCCCCTTCTGTTTTTTCAGTCTCCAAGCTGATCCCACCACGCGGAGAATCGAAATCTACCACTGAGTTGCCATGGTACCTAATGAGTGGAAAACATTTCTATTTTAAAACATTCAAAATTTTCAAAAACAATATGGAAAAACAACATCAGAATTGAAGGCTATATCTATATTTCTTACTAGATAATAGCTTAAGTTGTAACTGTCTGACTAGCTCATTAGTGGTCATAAGCGCTACGGTTGATCACTTCATGGCCCTGGGTTCGAATATCGGGCCTGGTCAAAATTAGTTATTGGGTTTTCTATCAAAAGTTCTTAGTAACAGACTGGAGTCAGATGGCAATATGTCACCATCGTATCTCGGAAAGCACTTAAAGCCGTTGGTCCGGCGCCTGATCTCTCTCCGATCGTGTCAGTTTGCCATCCCGTTGGACTATGAGAATGAGGGAATAGATAATGCACATGCAGCCGCGTACACACTCGCTGTAACCCTGTCCTTCTGTTCAATATTTCAAGAATACTGGCCGCTGTGACCAAATTTCAGGCTAGAAAATATTATTATTGTGTTATAGTAACCAAAAAAGTTTTTTCAAAATTAGCCCGTAAAACAATCATCCTACAACGTAAAAATAAACAATATTTTATAAAAGTTATTCAGATTCTATTTTTCGTCAATAAATTATTTCTTGGAAGGCTTATAATATAATTTAATCAAATATTTAATCTTCAATAAAGAAATTCAAAAAAAATTCAAATCACGAAGTATAAAAAATAAACTGTTTTTATACTTCGTCATTTGAATTAATCTTACTTAAATCTATTCGACTGCGTTTTTTCTTTATTGCTTTTTTATGTATGTTACTCGATATTGTTGTCAATTGTTAACTGATTTTAATAATTATATTTTATCAGGTCAGGGATGTTTCCATATAAATTCGGAGAGTAAGTTCCAAAAACGTGGCAAAAAATACAACTAAAGATTTTACTATGACTATGTGGACTATATTTAATCTTGTCTTATTCCTACGAGTATGTCCACTTTAAAAGATCAAAAATAAACTTTTAATAAAAATTAAAAACTGGCTTCAAAGAACAAAAACAAAAAATATGTAACATACTGAAGCCATAGATTTAATAATTCTATATACTATGTCTCAATACCAACTTCAAGATCTAAAATTATTTTTTTTAGTTATATTTTAATTTTTATTTCAAAATTTAATTTAATTTTAAAGTCCTGATTAATTTAAATAAGTAGAATTTTCTGATCATACGTATTAAATTAGTATTTAATAATGAATGATACAGCTCGCACTAATCAGTGTTAGGATTAAACGAACTTGGTCTACTGTCGCCCATAAATTGAATAGGGCCTCGACAAGAAATTGCGACTAATCATAAATATTAAAATATATTAATAATAATTGTTATTTCGTTTTGTATGCCATCAACCCCGTAACTTATCTGATTTAAGTTTTATATAAGATCAAAACATCGCATTCCTTCAACGTATGTATCATACTTTGCACATTGTAGTTAGGTAGATCTACCGTCTACATACATTTGGTAAATCAATTAAACTGCTTTGTCAAGCTATTTGATTAGTTGATGGGCACATACAGTTGCATCAGTCGATATCAATTTAACATTTTTTTTTCTTTTTTTATCTGTATACATGTAAACAACTGGCGTTTTGCAGCACTCAATCATACTTAATAACTATAATTATTGTAATGATAAATAATAAAGTACTGCATGATTTATAAAAAGCATTATAAAATATAAAGGTACGCAATACACACAACAAAAAACAGTATGTACACAACCAAAAAGTCGCGGATCGACTGTTTAGTCGAGCATGTGCGCATCACAGTACGACTGGACTTTTCGATTTTTTTTTTTGATGTTATGGGGTCCTAGTTCCCGATATGCAGACTTCCATTCATTTACGTAGACTTTAGACAAATAACTAAATAATTGTTTCATTGAAATACTGTATGTCTAGAGTTAGTATACAAGCAATTAAATTAGACAAATTCTGAATTAATTCATACGAAGGGTCTTACCACAGCACAGAAGCGCTTGACGGTGGCGAAGAATGCACATTAACAGAGCACGTTAAAGATATTGTGCTGCCTTTCTTAACGTACACGTCCTGGGATCCCCAGATAGTAGCCGCAGCAGCTGCAACAAATATAAATAAAGGACATTATTTAATATTCCAAATATAATTATTGACAGACTTCAAAAAACTTTTATTTTAACTCATTTCTTTTTATAGTTATTAAAATTAGTTTTAATAATGAATGGAGATACTATGGCTAATAAAAAACTGAATTGTAGTGATATCTCCATCAAAGGTTTATAAGCAAAATAACTTCATGTAAAATCAATTGAAAACTATTTTGGTAGAGCCAGGCTCCACCTATATTATGGTTGTAGCACAAATGGTTCGGCTCGACCGTGGAAGGACCACGCTCTCACAGAATACCAGTGTTAAATAACAGCTCAATGTGGCTGTGTTTAGTTTGGTGAGTGTAGAAAACCAGAGACCCTTCTCCCTGGCAACGAGGTATTCCATGTTAGTCCTCAGGGGGTGACAACGCATCTCAATTTTGATTCTTGATCGAGTATAGATGTAGTATTGTGCCACAGCAACCACTTACCATCAGGTGGACTGTGTGCTCGTTTATCACCCTTATCTTATAAAAAATTAAAAGTGTAACAAAGATTCATCCCATACTTTTCTTAAGTAAAACTTTGTAGAGATATTTTTATTTTCCTGTTTTTAGAAAACGTAAACAATCAGTAACAGATTTCGTGGTTGTTTTTCCTATTTCAAAGCCATCAATCGCCCAACCAAGCTAAATTGGTCACTAAATTCAGCTAAATCGTATTAAGTCAATTTACTTAGATTTAATTGAATTCCTTTCGATGTGTTTTCTTTGTGGAAATGTTAGTTATATAACAAGTTATTTTTTGTCTTTTCTCTTTATTTTATTTAAGTTTTTATTTTCCCACATTAATGTTAATCAACTCTAATTACTATATAATATTACAAATTCTGTGCTATTCACGAATTATATAACTAAATTTGCAATTATTTTTTTGCTGTAAAATAAAAATAAAATTTTGTATGCATATAATAAGCAAACACGATAAAATAAAATATGTAGTGAATATGCTGTGTTATTGATTAGTGATAAGTATTTAGAAATAAATCGTTAAAGGAAATAAGAGAAACACAATAAAATATAAAGAATGTATTTCAGAAACAGCTGGGAACTTACAGAAGCTCTAAATTAATTTAATGAAAAACAAATTATAGGAATCGAGAGTACCTGAGGAACGGGGCGGAGCCGGGGTCGCGGGGGTGTGGGACTCATCTGGAATTCACAAGATAATAGCTTAGGAGAGGAGACGGCCAGGAATACAAAATAGCACATGGCCCTAATAGCGATACAGTTGACGAGTTAGAATTACACTGCTTCATGTAGAAGACAAATGAAATTCAAAATAGACAGGAGAGCGACGAATTTGATGGCGAGAATTAATCAAAATATTTCCATTACTTTTACTTTGATTTCTTTTAGTACTACTTTCTGTTATTAAGGGAATATACAAAAACGTTCTATCAAGTAGGTATAATAAATATTCTGTGAAGTATAATGAAAGTCCTGTTCAGTATAAAAATACTTATGTTTTTAGCCTTTCAAATAATATGGTTTCAATTCTAATGTAATCACAAATAAAAGAACTTTCTTTTCATACCTGCCGAAATTTACTTTTATATACCTAACATCATTAACGGATATACGATAGCTGAAAACTGTCCATACTAAACATGATATGGTATGTAAATTAAAAAAGTATCTTTTATTGATTATCAGCTTTATTAGAACTCATTTTAACAAACGGAATTAAATAAAACCAATTTTACGGGTTTTGTGGTGCCTAATTTTACTTTTTTAATTCCCGAAGTTTCAGACAATTCTTACCACCGATTGTCTCGAAGAGGACTGAGGTATTTTATGTCCTGAAGTCATAGTCAACGAAGGCTACCTTCAAGTATTAATTATTAATTTTTGATCCGATCTACGCAAGACGAGCTTACAGTATCCTAAAGTCTCGTAGTACTATGCTTGGGTTTGGATTTTTTACCGACATTTTCTCTATTGAAATTATCATGTTTTTTTTTTCATTTTAATAGCCCCGCAACTCATCCATGGGAGAAATCGGTGATCTTTAGGATGGATTAGTGGTTTATCAAATTCTAACATAATTCTTAAGACGATCCTGACCTGACATGTTCTTTTACGCGCGTTTTTATGTATCTTTTTGTTTGTCTTATGTAAGACAGATCACATTCACAATCAAGCTTGTATACTCCTGCTTCAAGCGATAAAATTTATCATATTCGGGTAAATAAAAAAAACGCAATTAATTTAACCACATATTTTGCCCAGTTAATACAGCAGATTATTTATGTTAGAAATACATTTTGTGAAAAAATAAGTAATAATTAAGATACATCAGCTAATAATTAATGAATTAAGTAAGTAATAGTTAATAACTACATCACACTCCTAACAACTAATAACTTATTTGCTGATTCTGTGGCCCATTTGTTGGTGCAGTCTATTTCTTTTTCTAAATATTTGGTAATTAAAATACTCGTTCATGTGCTGAAGTTCTTGAGCGTTGTCGCCGTTATAAACCTTACCTAACTTAACCTAATCTAAGCTAAAACCTAACTTAACCTAATATAATTAAGTTTCGTGTTTCATAATGCTACCAAATGAAGGGTGATTTCTACCAAGATATTTCTAATTTGTTTTGTGTTTTGTTAATTGTATCTTACATGATTGTAAGCTATTATTTGAAAAAAAAATTGTCCCGCTTAGTTTCTTGCTGGTTTTTCCCAGGACAGAGGTTTTTTTTTTGCGAACTAGTGATAAATGAAAAAAGTGATTTTCAATAAGTATTGTTTATAATCTATATTGAATAAAAAAGTTTCTGTTTCTGCATCTAAATAGTATTTAAATTAATTAATAGAAACCCAGCATAAGCGTAAGCTTTTTAATGAATAATTGACATTTAACTAAACCATTTGTTTGTAATTCCTTAATTTTCTATTTATTAGCAATTTTTAGTCAAATTTGACTGTAATTCGAAGTTGAATTTTAGTAAAGAAAATAATTATGTTTTATATATTCAAATTTTATAATTTACCTGATCTTTTCATGGAATTCTATACATGATCTAGTAAAGTAAGCATATAAGTAAACATATGTATATAATTCCTAATTTAAATATATAATAAAACCTAATTGTAAACGATATATTACATGTTTTATACATTTCCTAAGTAAACCCAGCACTACATGGAACGACTAGGTATTATATACAATGACTAAATTATATGCATTTTCGGTAACATATACATACTAAATAGCTTTAGGCAACGTAGAAAATAAAGAATAAAATAAAAATAAAGAAAACTTAAGGATTCTACTAAAATAAAACAATGCAATGTGGCAAAAACTGAAAAAATGTAATTCTTGATTAATTACGTACTGATCGATTTATGTGTCAGATATTTCGTTTTTTGTCTTTTTTTATAGAAGTGGGGGCAAACGAGCATGCGGCTCACCTGATGTTAAGTGACTACCACCGCCCATGATAAACCGCAACACCAGGGGAATTGTAGGTGCATTGCCGACCCTTTAGAAAGGGGTAAGCTCTTTTCTTGAAGGTCCCCAGGTCGTATCGGTCCGGAAAAATCACCGGTGGTAAACTATTCCACAGAGAGTTTGTACGCGGAAGAAAACTCCTTTCGAAACGTACAGTGGTGGACCGCCAAGCATCCAGATGGTGTGGATGGTATCGGGACGTTTGCCGCATAGTGCGTTCACGAAATTTGGCGGCTGCGATTAATCCGAACAATTTCTCAGAGCACTCTCCATGTTATATGTGAAAGAAAACGCAAAGAGATACAACATCTCTTTGCAGTGCCAGTGAATCGAGCCGATCGGAAAGCACTCGGTCATCGACGATTCGAGTCGCTCTGCGCTGGATGCGTTAAAGTGAAAGGAGCTGGTACTGGGGAGCCCCAGCCCAGAGATGGGAACAGTATTCCATGTGCGGCCGAACCTGCGCCTTGTAAAGTTACAGGCGGCGTACCGGCATGAAATACTGTCCCGATCTGTTGAGCACGCCAAGCTTCCTAGAGGTCAATTTGGCCTTCTCTTTCAAGTGACCACGAAACTGCACGTCACTCGATATGTCGAGGCCGAGGATTCCGATACTGGCTGAGGCAACAAGGAGAGTGCCTTGAAACTGAGGAGATACAACAAAGGGGTTCTTTTTAGCGGTTAACGCGCAAACTTGTGTCTTCTGGGGGTTAAACTGGACTAGATTTAGTTGCCCCCAATCCGAGACTCTGTTCAGCAAAGACTCGACTTCAAACACAAGTTTGTCCCGGCACTCGGAGACGTTTTCCCGAGAAATATTGGCTCGGCCGGTGTAAAGAGCATCACCAGTACTGTCATATGCATAGCAATGAATGTTTCGTTGCAACATATCTTTGATATGCTTCGCGTTGGCAATAGCACGCAGCCTTGTGGAACACCAGCATTAATAGGCTTGCAATCGGAGCTTGCACCGTCTACAACGACCTTGATGCTCCGATCTGCAAGAAAGCTGGTGATCCAATCGCACAATTTCTCGGGAAGCCCATAGGAAGGGAGCTTCGAAAGAAGCGCTTTGTGCCAAACCCGGTCGAAGGCCTTCGCAATGTCCAAACTAACGGCCAATGCCTACACCTTGGACTCTACTGCCTCCGCCCATCTATGAGTTAGGTAAACCAGAAGATCACCAGCTCGCAGCACCGCCACCACAGCGAAAACCGTATTGGCGGTCACTTTTCAGCTGGTGATACTCAAGGTACCTCATGAGCTGGCAGTTTACAATGGACTCCATTGTTTTGGAGAACAAGGAGGGATGGCGACAGGCCGGTAGTTGGACGGGTCAGAGCGGTCGCCTTTTTTAGGGATCGGGTGCACGTAAGCCGTCTTCCATGATTTTAGGACTACGCCTAGGGGAGTAGAAGTACCGGAAAAGACGTGTTAAAACCGGTGCCAACTCTGGAGCACACGTCCTCAGCACAATTGGGGGGATTCCGT